TTTTATGCAAACTCCTAAATTTATTCAAAGAAAACTTATTTTTTTTACTTGATGAACGAGAGCACTTTTAATGTTCTTTCTGCTTTCCTTTTTTTTAGGATCGATCTCGCGAGTCTCAATGAAAATATGGATTTTATGGGTAATTAAAAAATATCTTTTACATATTTTAGAATCTAAAACACGCTTTTATTACAATTTTTTTTTTTACAATTTTCTATACCTAACAATAAATTTGAACGCAAAATAAATGATTAATTGAAAAACGTTTAAAGAAAAATTTAACTCAATATTTGAAGTTTCAGTTGTAAGGTTTGAATATTAGGAATAATGTGAAGTTTGTTGGGTTTGAATGTATGTAAAGTCTTTTTAATTTGATAAGCATTTTGAAAATTCGGGTTGCGCAATGCGCAGATAAAAATCACGCGAAAATTTGCAAATCGTAATTTCGGGTCACGTGTTGTAGAGTATCGTAAGATCTACGCCCGCAGTAAAACTACGTTGCCACCGCAATCTAAATTACACGAGTTAAATAATATAAATGCTTGGTTTAATAATATTCCCTAATAAGTTAATTCTCAAAATATAATATTAATAAAAAAATAAATTCTGTTAATTCCTGATAAATTACCCCTTTACATTAAGTTCAAGTTTGCTCCTATTTATAAGAAATGATTTTCTTAAAATATTTCCTAAGTATTTTATTTCTCCCCTTCTTTGAAGTCATCCAATTTTAATTCTGACGGATTTTGAGTTTAGTAAACCTTCAACCTGATAAAATCCTCTTTCTGAAAGTAATGTTTCTGACCTCAAAATTCTCAGTTTTTGATCTTCAACTCTATTTCCTTATACGTAATCCTTCAATTTGATGAATAATGTGAACACAAGAACTATGTAATACTAAACATTACATATGGCTCAGCCTATACTCATGATCCCGGAGTTATACACGTCATAATATCAACTATAAAATTTAAATACTAAACTAGATATAATACTGCGTCTCACAAATAATAAATTCACTAGGTAAATTGTCTGGTTGCCGACATAATATGGAAAGTGTAACCTGCATCCATTGCATGGTTGAATAATATTAGGTGTAGAGATTCTTAAGGTTGTCTGTTAACCATGTAGTGTCTTCCAAATAACCTTGAACTTTTATTTCTAGTTTTTGGCTGAAGATATCGTCTGGAAAGTTAGATGTTAGATTGATTAAATGCCTCGAACATAGGATCTTAGTAAATAACCCACAATAGAGGGCAGATGGATTCTACTCTATACCATTGATGATGTCGTAGGGATCGACAAGCTAATCTTGGAATAAAATGCTCTTTTTCCTGTTGGTGAAAAGGTTAATGATAAAGGTGATTAGTATGGATGGAATTTGAATACGTTTGAGAGTAGGGAGAAAAATATGGTTGCTTTGCAAAAGTATAGTTCATTGATCGATGTGCATTATAGTCACGTGGTTCATGTTATACAAATCCTTTTTCAACGTACAATGAATAAGTATATCTTTTATTTGAACTTGTGCAACTTGATAATTACGACATAATTATATCACAATCTGATTAGTTATAAAATCATCCTTTTTTGCAATCAAAAATTCCCAGACTTTTCTCTATGAAAGTATGAAAGTAGTTCTTTGATTTTTTAATTTTTTTTACATGACGCGTATTCTGGTGAATGACTAACAATAACAGTTGGCTATATAATACTGTATCTTATACCATCATTTTCTTCACTTTATTTTCGTACAACTACGCAGAAAACTGGAAGGTAACTGATGCAATCGAACATTACCAAGCCAAGTACAATGAATTTATAAGAGTCGGCTTTTAATGATATCGATAAAAACAACTCAAATATCAAAAAGTCAAGTCTTTGATCTATTTGACGTATGAAGAAGAAAAAATTCAAGGAGAATACTTGGTACACGAATACTTGTACACGTTAGTGCTATTCAAAGAAAAAGTTTTCAGATTAAGATGGTTCCCAGGTTCGATGAGCGTGGCCGATATTCGTGAAAAAACTATTTTCCAGGCATACAAGAAATTTAGAAAGACGATATCAAAAACATCACGGAATTTAAATTATGGGATAAGTAAGTTGGAGAAATATGATTTTAGTTATGGAAAACGTGTAGATGGAGATTCGATATCATTTGTAACTACAACTACTTTCAGATCGAAGAGGTTGTAAGAGAAAAAGTGCGACGGAAGACGGTGTTGAAGGGTTTGGATAATTAAATCAGCCCTGTCTCGAAAAAAGTGCGATTGTCAAAAAAGGGACGGACGTTATCTACGGCGGAGATGAAAGAGGCATTAAAGAACTGGAAAAATCCTTTTGCCAGGAAGGGCAGCCAAAATGAACCGATATCATTCAAGAAGATAAGAGCGCCACAATTGGGAAATGGATTACCAAAGGAATAACAGGGGATTATCGGTATTTACTTGCAAAAATCGATAAGTTTGGACAAAGAAATCGCGCATGCTTTAGGAGATGAGTTGGATGGGAAGGAAGTGGTCAATACGATTGGAAGGTTCAGAAAAGATATGTTAAATAATCAGAAAGATTTTAAAACAGTGACTGTTGGAGGAAGATGATATTTGTTCCTGCTCGGATGAGAGTTGTTCTCATGTGGGATGTGAGATTGCACTTTGGGAACGAAAACTCAAACTCAGTAAGGGTAAAGCGGAGTTCGAAGAATTGGAATTAGCCCTATAAAAAAAAAATGTCCAGTTTTTGTTCAGAAATTGTCCGCCTATATTTTCCGGACAAAAACAGGATCTATAAACATCCGGAATATTGCAATATTCCGGACATTCATAAATAAGGAATTCGTCCGGTTTTTGCCATATATTTGTCCGTCATTTGTCCAAATTTTGATTATTCATAAATAAGTAATTTGCTTATATGATTTACTTTATAGTTTTTTTTAGCAGTATTATTTATTTATTCAAATTAAAAGCATAACAATTAAAATCATAGAGTCATAGACTATTTATTATATTATAAAAACAATAACTTTATTATAAATTAATCAATTAATACGATATGCTCCACTAATATTATAATCTACTTTCATTAAAATTAAGATACAAGTAAATTTAACCTTGCTGAATAATTTTACTTAAGCATAAAAGAGTAGTTTCATTTGAATAAAGTGATGAACTTACGTTCTAAAGTTGGAAATAGAAAAGTAAAATTCAAAAATTAGTATTCAATTAAAAAATGCAACTTATCTACAAATATTGTACCTACACTTATGAAAATCTAAATTACAAGTAATTTCGACCTCATTGAACAACTTTACTTAAGCACAAAAGGGTAATTTCATTTGGTGAAAGTGGTGAAATTACGCTCTGAAGTTTAAAACAGAAAAACGAAAATTTTGAAAACCAGTACTATTATAAAAA